ACGCATTGCAACACATACACACAGACAAAGCATACGATCGTTAGACAGCACAGTCGACATCAACAGCATGATTACCTGCTACCGCTGCTCATGAGAGGTGATGTAATAACGGAGTCCCCCGTTCACGAGCTCTTCGGGTGTATGCGACCGGGCCCTAGCTCGCACGAAATGTGCCCAACCCAAAATGGGCACATCGGCTCGTGAGCGCAAATTGAGAAGCGAACGAACCGTAGGTAAAAATAGAGCGTTTTTCGACCACTCGCGACAGTTGTCTAAAAAATAGGAAGACTCATTAGTGATCAGGCAGTTTCTTATCCTATGTTGCAGTTGAGTATAATGTGGCTAACACTATGCTAGTTTGTATACCCAACCCATGTAAAAATTATAATAATTTAGACTTGATTAAACTATCGTCCTGGGTTTGGGACCTTTGGACATCTGTAGTCCTTAAAAATGAGATTTGCTCTTCTATTAAAATTTGTGCTTAAAACCAGCCGAAAGCTTAAATTTCCAAAGACCAGCTGGTCTGAGCTGTGTCGAGAGGGCCGGTACCATCTCCTCAGCCGGTGGGCGAATGTTTCGGTGTGAATTGGTCGTCCGTGTGAAGCAGCAAAATGAGGCTCATGATCGATTGGTTGAGCACAAGCGTTTCTTTAATTGAAGCCAGTGCACAATCGATTCCGAAAGGAAGGAGGCACCGTGCCAGCATCAAACCAAACTTTGTATTAGCGTGTCAGGATCGGTTGATAGTGGTGGCGTTATCTCAAAAGAAACCATTACCAAGATCGTATGGCTCTTAGAATTTTCCATGTTTGCACTTTTAAAGTCAAACATAATTATAGCCTCTGTGATGGTTGATGTCAATGTGCTGAGCACCTGAGTAGGCGTATTGCGAATAATGCCATCAAGATGTAAATAAGAGCATTCAGAGGTGTACTTTGCTTTCTACATTATTAACCACCACCCGATCGACATATCTATGGCTAGCTCTTGAGATCAAGTTGGGCCGTAGGAGACAACCCGATGCCAGTAATAGTTTTATCACTGAATGTGGTGAAAGCGCGATCATTAAATTTTGTTGATAATCAATTCGGTTGGTGTAGCCCCATAAGTTGGTCACGATCCAGGTTCTTGCGCTTAAGTCGACATCGTGCACCTTGTACCCGCACCAGCGTACCGTTGGTCCATATGTATCTGCTATCATTGAATGTGGCACCAAAGCGTCGTGGAGCCTACTCAAAAGGCGTGCGAGATGCTGCCGATAGGGAAATGTTAGTGCCTGCTTGGCGTGACGGTACGAATCCAGCAATCATTCTCGCAGATCCATCGTGAACTGGTCTTTTTATAGCATCAGTTTTGTTGCCCTCAACTTACTATAACCACTACCAGTTGATGGTGAGTGCGTTTTTCTAGGAGCAGCTTAAATAAAGTCAGCCAGTAATTAAAAAGCGAGATTCTGGCATCCGTGTCGAGCAGGATGCACGTCGCGACCACTCTAACCTAACTACCGTTCCAGGATTAAGACACGCTGTTACCCCGTTGTGATCACAGGGCTGCCCAATGACGCTTGAAGTAATATTACGAATTGACTGTGCGTGGGAGTGTGTGACGTACCTTCGGGCATTGTGCAGAAGCATGTGTGATTATTCCGCTAATATTCAGTTTCACTTCTCTCATCTCAAGCTTGGACAGAGCTTCTGCAATCAAACCCACCATTCTCTACACTGATGAATAGCCGTCGGAGTGTCGCATAGTCATGATTATTTCACCAACCTAGATTTAATCGGTCCGTGTAATTTTTGAGCGTGCAGCTGAAGTTCTTAGCGTCTAAAACCATTTCATTAGGGCCTTTAGTATTGCCCTTGAGAGAGAAAAAGAGCACTTCCATTTTTGGGCAATATGTAGGAGTGAATACATTGACGATTGACCAAATGCAATTTTTTTTGCATTGTGGCTGCCGTCCATCGACTTGTCCACAGTTCCGAATCCACAACTGTAGATATAAAGCGCTGAACAGGTACGTTTCATGTTGTAAGGATCATTCATGAGATAAATAAGCAAGTAGTTTCATGGTAGCTTCAGATGGTTGCCATGGAAAAGCGTTACATTCAGGCTTAGAGATAAATCACGGTAGTGTACTGGGGACCTTAATGATATTCACTTCGGCATTTGCCTCCAAAAACACCCTCAATCCAACAGGTTAACAGACGCAACGCTACCGACCGTAACGTTTAAGACATGACCTCCAAACGCGCCGAAGTCCTCCTAGGGAGTGGGAACTACCATCACAGCGGGCACTACATGCGCATGAACTTGGCCCGAATTGGTCTTTTGGTGCATGTGGAGAATTAAAAGCCCGAGAACGAGATTACAGAGGCGTGGCTCGTTAGCGAAGCGAAAGCACTCGGGATCATCGCTCAAGGGGTGTAACTACAGGATCAGACAGAAATTCGATTTGCTTCAAGTGCATGCATGCCTGGGGGAAGCTACGGGACTTCTTTAATTGTTCCACGTTTCACATACGAATTACCATGACAAGACGTCTGCACAACTTCAAGATGGAGAGCGGAACGGCGATGGCCAAGCATTGGAAGCGTTCGACGAGCTTTTCGTCGGATTCTAGACACTTGGAGAACCCGTTGACGAGGCACGACAGTTTGTTGTGCTGTTAAGCAGTATTTTTATTGAGTACGAGATGATTGCATCTATTGTGGAGAAGAATTAGGACACGTCACTGATTGAAGTAAAGGAGAACCTTTTAAGGAGTACGAGCGGCTTGAGAAGATGAAAACAGCATGAAGAAAGCGTTCCGTGCCGAAACGCTGTAGGTATAAAGGCGGCCGAGGACACAGTCGAATAGGGAACGTGCCACACAATAAGGGTGGTGGTTTCAAGGGCAAGTGCTTTGGATGTGATTATGTCGGTCACTTGATGCGGCCTGTCCGTGTTAGAGAGGCGAAGCAGGAAACGAGCTGGTTTTTTCGTCGGCGAGGAAAGCCAGAACGACTGGTTGACTGACAGTGAGGCTACATCGCACATGACCCCGCATCGTTCTGACCGATTCAATTAAGAGACCTTGAACGCTGTTGTCGAAGTGATTATTGCGGTTGGCAAGAAGTTACGCGTTTACAGAAGAGAAACGGTCAAGTTGACCAGTCTCGACTGCAGACGCGTCAAAATGATGTATGTCGCGTGAACGCCAGGACTCGACAGACGACCCCTGTCCGTTGAGAGACTAGCTGAATGTGTCTTGAGTGTTGTGTTCTGACGTTTCTCGTGCATCATCCGTGGTGCAAGCGGTGCCATTACTATGATAGACAAGGTGGGCAAGGCGTTCCTGCTCGACTGGAACCAAGAGGAAGCATGGTTTGTAGAGGGCTCAGAAGCCGACAGTAAGTGAAAGCTTTGGCACGCTCGCATGGGACACTTAATCAAGGATGCACTAATCAAGACCCAGCGATCCACGAACGGCATACCTGTGGTGAAGCAAGGCATTAAACGGATGTGTGGCGGATGCATAAAGGTAAGCAGGTCGTTTCATCGTTCTCGTCAAGATCTGCGACGAAGACATCGCACGTGTTGAAACTTGTCCACGCGGATGTGAAGGTCTCGATAATTACGCTCTCAAAATATGGCGAGAAGCATGTACTGACCCTCGTGGACGACTACTCACGGTGTGTAGTAGCGTACTCCCTGCGGAAAAGAGTGAAGTGGCCGGCAAACTAAGGAATTCCAAGCGTTTTACGGAAACTGATTGGGGAAACGTTTGAAGTGTCTGTAATGAGCCAATGGAACGGAGTACGTAGACAAGACTATAGATGAGACGTGTCGCAGGAACGTTATCATGCACAAACGAACCGCTCCGTAAAGCCCTCAACTGAATGGAGTGGCGGAATGTATGAAACGTACCATCATGGACAATGCACAAAGCATGTTACACTATAAGGGTGTGTCGACAGAATGGTGGTCTGAAGCTGCAAGTACAGCATTGTGCTGAATCATCGGTTCCAGCAACACGGCACACGTGGACTCGACACTTCAGTTTCAAGGTGAAGCCCCGCATGGAACACTTACGCGTGTTCAAATTGCAGGGTTACCATTGACGATGCGAAGAGAACGAAGCTCGAGTTAAAGGAATTCCTAAATGTGTTGCTCGGGTATGCTAAGAACGTAAAAGGATACCGTTCATATGACTTAGACGATGCAAAGGTCAAGACGTCACGTTCGACCAAGCTGAACGAGCGTGAGGTATGCGGTATGTACGACGCATAGTCATCGCAGCTTTGAATGGTTACTCGAATAACTATGGAGCGTGATGACAGGACCGTTCCTAAACCTGATGAACTTCAGCCGATTGTGGATGAACCCATGGAACCTGCCGAGGAACCTGTTCCGGATGTAAAGATAGACGTCGTGGAACCTGAAGAGGACTCTCTGTAGCCAAAACAACCTCCATCTAAAACGGCTAACACTGTGCTGGAACTGGCTGCAATTCATCCACCGCCACCAACGTAAAACATAGATCGCGCGGTATTCTACCCCGAGGTGGCACGCCCGAGGCGTTCGAGAGATCCAGTGCTCTAAAGATGAACGGTGTGGGCGCATAAGACGAACGTCTGTCTGAATGGAGTAATGGACCTCCTTTACCGAAGCGTGCAAGGATTAACGAAGAAGGATATCTTGCGGAGGCTGTTCTGGTATGTGCTGCGAGTATCGACGGTGTTCCAGACACACTGAACACGTATGCAGAAGCTGTAGCTAGTGACGAAGCAGCTGAATGGCGTAAGGCTATGGACGCGAAACTCCTCTAGCATGGTCGGAACCATACGTGGACTCCCGTTCCACGTAGAACGGCTACCCATTCGATCATTTTCCGTTGGGTGTTTGCCAAGAATCGTGACAAGAATGGTCGAGCGGTCCGCTACAAGGCTCGGCTGGTAGCTCAAGGTTGAAGCAAATTTCGGAATAGGTTCACCGAAATCAACTTACCGGTGGCAAACATGAACTCGACTCGATTTGTGCTGTCTGTGTGCGCGGCATACAAGAACGTGATGGAGCAGCTTGACGCGAATACAGCGTTCCTGAACAGTGGATTGGTGGAACTTGTCTACGCGGAAGATACATTTGGTGTTATGAACGCTAAGGGTACACTGTGCAAATGGGAGAAGACTGTCTATGGTTCAAAGAAGGCAACAAGTGCTCAAGACAAGATAATTTATCGTGTCTTCTTGCAGAGTGGTTTCTAGAGCTGTGGTGCGGATGAGTGTGTCTATGTGAAGCGTACTTGGAACGGTTTCGTGTAAGTGTGCCTGATTGGACGACATGATCATTGCAGTTGAGACAAGCCAAGAGGTCAAGGACGTGAAGGACGCGGTGAAGAACGCATTCACAATGAAGGAGCTCGGGCCAGCAAATTTTACCTTTGGATGGAGATCGAACATAACGCAACGGCTGGGATGATCATGATCAAGCAGACACGGTACATTGAAGACGTGGTAAAAGGTTTCGGACAGGAGAATGCAATGCATGTCGACAATCCTGTGTAGCTGGCCTCAGGTTGTCGAAGTCGCAGTCACCAGGAACGAATTTACAGTGGAACGCAATGCAATCAAAACCGTTTCGTTCTCTGATCGACTGCCTACTGAACATCACGACATGTACTTGCCCGGTCCTAGCGTTCGTGATTACTCATCTCTCTCTTTTTTTGGAAAACCCCGGAAATCAACACTGGAATGCTACAGTGCGTGTGCTAACTTACCTGAAATCAACATGCCAGCACGTAATTATCTTATAAGGTGGAATAGATAATGTTAGCTCAAAGCGTACTCGGACGCATAGTGGGGTACGAATGTTGGCGACAGTTGTTCCGTCTCTGATGTTCTGGTGATAATTGGGAACGTGCCAGTAGTGTTTAAGTCAACGCTATAGAGGACGGTAGCGCTCAGCTCTACGGAATCTGAGTTACAGGATAATAATTTATGTGTTAAGGAAGTGTTGTGGACGCGTGCAAGGCTAATGGACATGAGAATGGTACAAAGGAACGCTACTACAATCCGGATGGAAAGTCAAGGCGCAATCGCTTTGGCTCAGAATGCTGGTTACCATGCTCGGACTAAAGCATGTGGAAATCCGTCATCACTTCAGCAGAGAGACGATCGAAGCCGAAACGATTGCGCTAGTGTCTTTGGACCAAACATCAGTTGACCGACACACTGACCAAGGCTCTAGGATCCGAGACAATCAAGTTACAACGCGATGCGAACAGTATGCAGTGCAAGGTCATCGAGCAGTAGCGGTGAGTGGGAGTGTTGATATTACACCGCTGTAAAGGTAAATTAAAGGTTGTTAGAATGATGATTCATGAGATAAACGATTAAGGAGCTTCATAATAGTTTCGAAGGAGTTCCATGGAAGAGCGTTACATAAACGCTTAGAAATAGCTCATGGTAGTAAACTTAGGGCCTTAAACATTTTTACCTCAGCATTTGCACATAACAACAGCCTCAAACCTATAAATACAATCAAATCAATTTTGGGATGTATGGGGGCTTAGCAATAGGCCTTTTCCCGTACGGCTGGCGTCTATGCCGTGAGGTTCAAGACGCCATTGAAAGAATGTCATCAACCAGCACCTATAGGCGGGGTTTACGTAACGCTAAAGTGGTGGAGTGGCTATCGCTCATTTCCTAAGTCGATCCCAACTCTCCACTGGCGCCCGGACGACCGACTAACGAAGGGGTACTCCTATTCCATGTGTGTTGCCTTCCTCACTTTGTGTACCCGTCGGTATGGCGGGTTGCAATCTTCCAGATAGCCTCGTGCCGAAGGAAAACTTGACCGTGTTAGGGATGGGGTTGATCGTGCGAAAATCTTCACGCGATCACGGGGTACTTGTGGTTACTGATATTAGTTACCATGATCTCAACGAGATCGCCTTATCCACTATGCGATTGCTTGATCCGCGAATCTTCTGACCAGTTGAGCCGTCTCGCGATCTTGCGCCTTGCCTTTACGTGTATTGCTGCGTCCGATCGCAGTTGATGTTGCCTGAGATTTCTTGAATACACCTGGCCAAAACAATCCAGGTATAACACTTGCGTAGACGTGTAGCGACTCTTCATTCGACGGGGGGCCAAAGATCCTACCCGGAAGAGATAACGTGTGCCTTGTGAAGTAATTTGAGCTCTTTTTTATGTTAACCGACCAACTTAAACACTACACCTATGTCTATCCGCATATCCCAACCAGATGCCATGCGTCTCCTGTCCAGAATATCGTCCCCTCGCATTTGTGTTGTCCACACCCATTATATCAGCAGCTGTATCTTCTTGTGGCCCACCCAAGATGCCCTTGTGATACTTCTAGCGGATCGTGATCCTAATACCGGGTTGCACCTGAGATCGGACTTGCGATCCTGAGTTAGGATCGCGGTCTTCCAGTGAGATCGAGGGTCTCGTCTTGCCATGTATCAAGACGGATTGCGTAACCTAAACGGGTGTGACCACCCTATAGCCTCGTCCCAGGCTGAACGAACCTGACCGCTCGGGGTTTGGGTAAGCTATTGCCAGCTACCCGTCTCAGCCGCATCCACCCATCATAGCATTCTTGGCTCAACTGAAACGTGCGACCCGTGCGATCGCCGATCCACGTCCCAATAGACATTTCCTTGTGACCGCTTTGCCACACTAATGGATGACGGCAACTTTTACAGCGAACTTCACCGGTGTGCATCCGCCCGTGAGGCCGGCAGGATCTGGCTCGGGCCCCAGCGATTTAGCCGTCGCGTGCATATCGGGCGCAAATGGCAAAATCAGAGATAATAGAGTATCTCCAACTGCGCCGTCAGTCATGGCGAAGCCGAAAGCACAATTGGGAGTCTTTGCTATCCTGAGTCACATTGGAAGATGTATTATTAGCTTAAGAAGCAGAGATGAATCAATATCCTCGAAGCTGGACACGTGGAAGCGTACAGTGCAAACTATTTGGCACCCAATTTTGGATTTTTTACCAAGCGATGCTAGTACGGTCGGAGGGGTTTCTAGCGGAGAGAAGGCGCCTTCCCACGCTGCATGCAGCTGCAGCGAGCGCTTTGACTAAAACGTTTAAGCAGGCTTACTTTTCGCACCGAATATTTTTCTAGCGGAAAAAATCATCCACGTAAATAGGAAGAAGTAGGGATCCAGCAGGTTGTCTGCTATTCAGGAAACTGCCACAAGTGGGGTATTTAACGATTTACATCTGTTCAGCTACGGTGGTTTAAACGGGTGCGGCATTTTGAGTGCAGAACCGCCACACGACTGCGTTGAGAGGATCCGTTACGAGGAGTTTATGTTTTTTTTAAAATCCTTAGAAAAGGGGTGTTTCCCGAATCACAACTCAATGTGCGGTCACGGGAGCTCGGAGTAGGCCGAAAAAGGTAAGGTAGAGCATGCACACCACGATTTTGGTCATCGCGGGGATGGCCGAAGGACCCTGGCGTGCTGGCGCTTGTCATATATTTTCAAAGATGTCCTTGAAAGCAGAAAGGGTGTATCTTTACAAAAACGTAGTTGCAAGTCGAAGGCTGATCGTTTTGCACTCATACCGTACCCCCAGCATCCGAGTCAGCCGAAAGACAAAAATGACCACCACTGATTGCATTCTGGAGTCGGCCGAACTGGCGCCGATTGTTCCGCAAACCCTGCACCTTCTTTTCAGTCAAACGAAGACCTTTATCCACTACTAAGTGATTAAGGTGATACGTGACAATTTTTACAAAAAACTCAAAGGACAGCTATAAGGAGGTGGTGGGCCCAATGTTGGACGAATGTCTTGGCTGCATGATGCTCACAGCCTGGATATGGCAGAAAGGGCATAATGGATCCGGTCCTGGGCGGTAAGTGGGATACAAAATTCGATTGACCAACATGACGCGCTTTAGCAAAATAGGCAACATCTCGACGTATTCGAATGCGAAAATCCCGAGAGACTTTTACGTGGACGACATGGACACCGATGCTTCGGATTTGCGGACGTCAACTATCTGGAGCGTGGCTTTTAAGCTCGCTGGATAGCTGACCTTTTTGATAGGCGTTGTGCGTCTTATCTAATTTGGTGTCCCTACGATAGCAATCCTTAAATTGTCGGCACCCATTGCAGAGCCTACAATACGGCAACTTCAGGCATAAACTTGTCCGGAGCGGTTTAATTGATGCTCAATCATAGAGCCCTGGTACTATTTTTGAATCTAAAGAGGACAAGCAAGAGCTTGATATCCTTGTCACACCTTTCTTCAGTTTCGCGCATCCCAAGGCCATAACGGGAACGCTTTAAATCCAGCGGAGAGCTACTCAAACGAGCCAAGCACCCGAACACTATTCAAGCCCGCAGAAGTGGCACGAATGGTTACAGCAAGCTCTCTTTTCTTTTATAACCTAAGTAATATAGCGGCGCCACACAGGCAGAGCAAAAGTTTGGGAGCATCTGAATTATCGCATAAAACCTATTGCACCGCAACCGTGGCTTTTCTTCCCTGTCACAAGACAACAGCAAACGTTTTAAAGCGCCACCGCGTCTCTTTTACGAGTTACCATGGGTTCCGAGCACTATTCTATCCTATAGGAAGATGATAAGGAGCCTCCAGCGCATTCTAGCAGCAAAATGACACGGCGTATGTAACGGGGTGAATCGTTACTTAACAATCTATAAGAAATTGTTAATAGAATATAACTGTAAGAGTTATATTCTCAGAATATTGTCATAAGGACAATATTCTACAGCACTTTCGAGTAGTTCCTAATTGGTTGATATAGGCCATTATATCAACCAACGAAGACACGCCACGACAGGCGCACGCAATGAGTGGTGAGCAGATAATTGATTTACACATTTGTCTTCAGACATTGTTAGATGAGGATAAATAGTGATTTATTGCAGACATTAACTATGATAAATACAGTTGTACTTTTTACTTTAACCAAGTACTCACTTCTTCTTACCGTATTTCTCTGCACGTACGAGTGTACGTGAAGTTACGAGGCACCGCCTTATTTTGTTATCAGAATAAGTAGCTTGTACTGTCACCAGTACAAGCTTCAGGGTGCCCCGTTACACCTGGTAGCACTTCGTAGTCCGTCTAAGGACCACGTTCACATCCAACATGAATATGTTGGATGATGAAGATGACCAAATCTTTCACGCTACGTGTGACGGCTACTCCCATTTGAGCAATGTCGAATGGGATGCGGTTGAACGAATGGGTTCAACCATGGGCATCCATGCTGTTAGCGTCATGCTAGAGGCTCTCAATAGAGATGCCCAACATGCTACTATCTCCAAGTTCATTCAAAATAAACTTGACGCAGAACGCGAGAAAGTAGCCTTGCTTCACCAACAAGGTTCTCAACAAGCAGAGTTGTTGAGAGAACAGGGTGCTCAACAGTTTGAACTGTTGAGACAGCAGCAGGCTGCTGCTGGTGGGTCGATGCATTCGCGTCGACCCGAGACCTTGAAGATTGACATCTCCAAGTATAGGGGAGTCGAAGAGGACTTCTTCTTGAGATGGTTCGTCGAATTAGACGACGCCATATAGGGCGCGTCGCATCGACGATGGGGATATACAAGTTGCATTTGCCCAATCAAATCTGGCAGGACGTGCCAAGACTTGGACTTTGGGGCTCAAGTTGCACGACCCATATGTGTTTGGGTCGTTGGAAGTCTTCAAGTCGCGGCTCAGACAAACGTTTGAACCGCCTAGAGCTGAGCTCAGAGCTTGAACCGAAATCTTGAAGCTCAAGCAGGGTAAGCGTGATGTGCACGCTTACGCGCAACATATACGACATCTCACGAGTTGTATAAGTTCCAATCCGGTGGATGAACACACGTTGGTTTCGGTTTTCATGCAGGGTCTTGCGGATGGTTCCGTCAAGACTCACCTGTTCCGGCTTGAACTAGATTCACTAGAACAAGCCATTTCCATTGCGGAGCAGGAAGACATCAGTCTGAGACAGGCTCGCGCCAGCTCGACATCATATCGTCAACCGAGACGATATGACAACGGAGGTCCAGAGCCGATGGAACTCTGTTATGTAGAGAGCGAGAAGGCTCGCTCTACAGGCTACAAGAAGTTGCAGAGATGCAACAGATGTCAAAAGACAGGACACTACGCTTACGAGTGTAGTGTCCCTCGTCCAGTGTCTCGCGACACTGGGCGTAGTGACCGCCCACCCATGAGAAAGGGGCAGGGACGAGGGTCCGCAGTTGGTGCAAAGACGCAACAACGGGATGGACCGTCAAAAAACGGACAGGATCAGTAGGTGCGGAGCACCCTAATGGTCTAGCAACGTCAAGAAAATTTGTAGGCTTCTTGATGAAGGTTGCTCCCAACACACAAACGTTGTGCGTTGCTGCTCTAGGTAATGAGGTCTCACTCATTACCTTGAAACTCGAAGTGACGAATAAGTTGTCCCTTTGAGCTTTAGTCGATTGTGGGGCGTCCAACAATTTTGTGCGACGCCAATCGCTAGAAGATGGTCACTTTAAATTCAGTGAATGTGACACACCTCCTACGAGGATGACGGTACGCCTTGCGACAGGCGCATCCGTAACCGTCATGAAGCGTACATTGAAGATCCACTATACGCTAGAAGATACCCAATATGATGATGACTTTGACGTATTGGATTTGGATGAAAAATTTGATGTCATCCTTGGAATACCGTGGCTCAGAAGGTACGAACCACGGGTAAACTGGCAACATCGAACAGTAACGATGCCTGCCGCTTGTTCATCAGATGGCTATCTGATGAACGTTTTGGAGCGTCCACAAGTATTTGGATGTTCTACGAGTAGGTGCGATGGCCTCACTTGTGGTACGGTCGTTAGTACGACTGCACAAAACCTTATTGTAACAAACGGTTACACTTCGGAGCAAAGTTCCGACGGCTGTGAGGAAGCACAGGCTGCGCCGAAGGTCCACCACTCGAATAAGTCGAGTGGACCAGGACAAAGATGTATCGTTAGCAGGTAACATCTAGATGAGAAACCATCGATCGCTCAGGTTAAGCGAATCGATAATCCTAGATCGACTGGAGAGTCTTTCGTAGAGGATCTCGCTGTGGTTGCGCAACCCCAGCTAGAGGAAGTAAAGGGAATAAGTCCCAAGATTACAAATACGGCGGAAATAAGTTCCCCGAAACCCGCGGGAATAAGTCCTTGGGAAGCCGAAGGAATAAGTCCTTCGAAGCCTGAGGGAATAAGTCCCCAGGAAATGACAGAGACATTGAATGTTATAGTCAATAACGGATCAAGTGTAGGCGCTTATACACTTGATCTGATTGCGCCTCCGAATTTAACTTCGGAGATCACTCAGTTGCCAACGCTCGAACATAAAAGGTTCTTGCGTGATCTGCGTAGTGGCAAAGTCAAGCAGATCTGCATACTCGTCGCTGACTACGAGTGTGTAACCGACATAAGGTCAGCAACAGTGTTTACTGAGAACGAGAGAGTTCTCAGTAGTTCATCTATGGACGAGAGTGTCCTAGATGAAAAGACACGAATTGAGCGATATGACTCCCAATCATGGGAATCGCTCAAGACAAATCCTCTCTATGAAGATTTGGTTGAATTCAAGGATGTATTCCCTGAAACTGTTCCGTGCGAATTACCGAAGGATAAAGGTATTCGACACGAGGTCGAGCTTAAACCAGGCTCGAAGTACTGTGTCATGAAGCAGTGGCCACTGCCCCGTGAACAAGTACTTGCGATCGACAAGTTCTTTGCCGATCGTTTAGCAGCGGGCCATGTGAGGGAATCAACTTCCCCACATAGCTCTCCGACCTTCTGTGTGCGAAAAGCAACAGGAGGGTGGCGGATAGTGCACGCGTTCAACAAATTGAACGCTGCAACGGTACCGGCTCAGACGACGATACCGAGGAAGGACGTAATCATTGATGGCATGTCAAAGAGTACCATATTTTCGTCCATGGATTTGATGGATGGCTTCTATCAGATCCTTATGCGAGAACGGGATATACCTACGGGATATACCTATACTGCAGTTAGCACGCCTAGCGGCATGCTCTGGGAATGGCTAGTAATGCCACAAGGGCTTAGTAATGCCCCTGCCACGTTCAACAGATGTGTATCACATCTGTTGAGACCAGTACGAGAATTCGCGCCGAGTTATTTCGATGACGTATTCATCCATAGTCGAGCTATGGATGGAAAGTCGGACGTTGAGGTTCACAGGTACCACGTCCGACAGGTTCTTACAATCATGCGAAAGCATCAATTGTATGCAAACCTCAAGAAGTGTATATTTGCTGCAAGCGAAATACCACTTCTTGGGTGCATCGTTGGTAAGAACGGTGTACGTCCTGATCCCGAAAAGATCAAGGCGATCACCGACTGGCCGGTGCCGGTTGATGTCAAAGGTCTTCGAAAATTTCTTGGGCTAGCGGCGTATTTGCATAAGCATTCACGCAATTACGCCGAGATGACTGTGCACCTCTCTCGTTTGTTGAAAAAGAACGAGAGATGGTTATGGAACGCTGAATGTCAGCGCTCTTTTGATGGTATCAAGCAGAGCTTGATACAATCCCCAGTTCTAGCAATAGTCGATCAGGACAGGCCATTTCATGTGGTCTGTGATGCCAGCGATTTCTCAATCGGCTGTGCATTAATGCAGTACGATCTTGAAGGCGTTGAACGCGTCGTCTGCTATCAGTCGCGTCCGCTTCAACCAGCTGAGCGGAACTATCCAATGCATGACAAGGAACGCCTTGCCATGAAGTATGCACTCGCGAAGTTCAGAGTCTATCTATTAGGAGATAGACCCTTCATTGTTTACACTGACCATGCGTCATTACGCACGGCAGTGAACAGCCCGCACCTTTTACAACGAATGGCGCGGTGGTTGTCATTCTTTGCAGAATGCAACTTTACGTTCGAGTACAAACCAGGACGACCTAATGTCGTCACTGATGCACTCTCACGTCGTCCCGACTTTGAAACAGTCGCGAAACCCAACAGTGAGACAGTCGCTGTTGCGGTTATGACGTCCTCAGTGCCATCTACAACGTTGTATGATGATGTGAGGCGGGCAAATGCCCAAGATGGTGAGATTGTGAAGTTGTTGACACATCTCTCACAGCCATCTCGAGAATCGTTGAAACAATTGTCGTCGGCGTATCGATCTGCATCAGATCGATACACTACTCGTAACGGCTTACTGTATTATACAGCCGTTTCTGGTGACACACCACGTGTTGTCATTCCAGATGGTACTGATCTGCGTTTGCGGATCATGTTCGAGTATCACGATGCTCCTATAGGAGGACATCGTGGCCGAGAGAAAACTTATCTCACGGTAAGTCGAGACTTCTACTGGCCCCGCCAGTATCAGTTTGTGCGAAAGTATGTTCGCGCATGCGAAGTCTGCCAACGAGTGAAGTCAAGTCCTTCACTGCGTGCACCTTTACAGCCTCTACCGGTTCCGGCTGAGTGCTGGGAATCCATCTCAATGGATTTTGTCTTCGGGTTACCCAAAGACGGACGCGGGAATACGGGTATTCTCGTATTTGTTGACAGATTCAGCAAAATGGTACACCTTGTGGCTGTACCAGAGACAATCACGGCAAGTGGCTGTGCTTGTGTCTTTATTGACACCATCTTCCGACTTCATGGGTTGCCCCGTGAACTCGTATCAGACAGAGATCCACGATTCACTGCTGATTTCTGGCGTTCCGTGTTCAAATCACTCGGAACGCGCTTGAAGATGTCAACATCTGATCATCCAGAGTCAGATGGTCAGACGGAACGTGCCAATCGTGTCCTTGAAGAGATACTTCGAGGATACGTACACCCCTTTAAGAGTTGGAGTGAGTTTTTTGCCAATGGTAGAGTTTGCCATTAACAACTCGGTGCATGCGTCCACGACACATACACCGTTTTACGTGAATGGCTTGCGCCATCCGCGTGTACCCACCTTACTAGAGTTTAACTCTGGTTTAAGGGGGGGGGACTCGCGCGAGCAAAAACCGATTTGGTTCACGCTCATCACGCTCTGACGAAGAAGTCATTGCGTTTGATGCCGATATCGATAACATCGATATCGAAGAAGATGATGCCAGCGAGAGTGCGGAAGCCCTCACTGAAGAAGACGATCCCAGTGAGAGTGCGGAAGCCCTCACTGAAGAAGACGATCCCAGTGAGAGTGCGGAAGCCCTCACTGAAGAAAAGGTTGATGTTGCTGCAGTGCGCTCACAGCGCACTGAAGCTAACGAGTCATCAGATGAGTTCATACTGGCTCGTGAAACGGTAGTCCGTTTTGTGCAAGACTCCATCGCCGAAGCTGTGGATAAGCAAAAGCAAAACGCTGACAAGAATGGAAGTGCCAACACTCTTTTATTTAATAAAGGTGACTTAGTCCTACTGTCTACGGTTAATCTACCAAAGCATGTAGTGACTAACTTGGGTAGCAGTAAACTTCTACCCAAGTACATTGGCCCATTTCGCGTATTGCATCGCCTAGGCAATGCATACACGATCGAACTTCCACGTAAGATGCGAGCGCATCCCACGTTTTACGTTGGTCGGCTTAAGCCGTACGATCAGTACGCTGCTTCTTCCGATGAAGAACGCCCTTGCGCTCAAGCATCTCGCAGAGAGCCTTGTGCTCCCGATGGTGGCCATCGACAAGGGTCTGAAGAGCAGTTATCTCAGCCCGAGACCGCTCAACATCCCCACGAGCTACCCTTAGCTCGTCACGCAGAGAAGTCAAAGCTCTCTCTTTCTCAAGCTGAGCAAAGTCAAACTCAGCTCGATGCTTCAAGGCAGTGTCCGCCATTTGGAGACGCCTATCCCGCTCATGTTCGAGATCGTCGCGTAACCCTTGCGTTACGCGATCAAAGAAGCTCTCGGGAACACACCGATCCACATGATCGTGTGGAGAGCGTCTTTCCTCCTCCTCCACCTCCATTAGAGGACTCTCGCGGTGGCCAGCGCTATCTAGTTGAGCAGCTGTTGAACCACCGCGACGTGAACGGACGTCGGACGAGTTATCTCGTCCGGTGGCGCGGCTATACCCCGTCCTGGGATTCTTGGGAGCCCCGCTCCCAACTGATGATCGACGTACTGGGTCTGGTAGAGCAGTACGACGCGGCACATCCTGTGCCGTAGAAGGACCGCTGGAGAAAGTCTTCCCGGCACGGTCGTAAAGGGATTTCAGGTTGTCAATCCCTTCGTACATCTCAGTAGAGACACGTACGCGCCACCACGGGCTGGTAAGGAGGTAAGCCTCCTTAGGTGCTCGTGCAGAGTTGTTCACACAACATGGGCACGAGTCTCCCCAAGAGAGGCAGGGTAATCCTTTCTCATTTGACAGACGATGCAGCTTGTAGCGTGCACCTGTCGGAGTTCGCTTTTCAAACTTATCACGAGCTTTGATGAGTTTGTCGTTCCAAGCGTCACGACCTAAATCCTCAAGGTTATGGATGTAGGCGTTCCACGCTTGAAGCAGTGAGGGACCACCACGTTTGTGATTCCCACTGTACCATCGATGTCTAAAGAACGCATCGATGAAGAATTCATGTTCAGCGCGATAGTCTTTCGCGCTGGGGTCAAGGTGATGGACCCTTGACGAATCGAACAATCGTGTTCGATAACGATCACTCGTCGTCGCCGACAAGTGATCCATGACGGATTTAGGAGGCATCCATGCCTTCTTTTCAGGAGCGAGACGCAACACATTGCGGTCCCGCTCTTCCTGCGACGTGCCGACAGAAGTACTGGCACCTCGCTGTGAAGTGGTGTCAATAGGAGAACCGACACCACTGTTAGCGCCCGAGTCTCGCGACCTCGAGCGCCTTCGCTTCGGCGGTGGTTCATCTGATGAATCAGATGAACCAAAGATGCTACGATGCATAGCATCATCCATGCCACGCTTGGCCGGCGGCTTAGATTCGATCGCCGCCGATACGGATCCGTCTTCCGTATCAGGAGAGTACGAGACACCGAGCTCGTACTCTGTGAAGACACGAGTGTCTTCATGGCAAGCGCCTGCATCACCAAGTGACAAAGGCTGGGTCGCTTCAGCAACCGATGAGACGTCAGTTGCTGTTGTTTCTGCTTCGGCGTCCGAACAGAGACGTGTAGACGCGCTCTCGGCGGCCTTGCTCGCGCATCGCATGGGCTTGTTAACCATGCGATGATATGTTGGGAAGTGGACGCGGACCAACAAGTGCAAAACCTGTCCCAAATGATTGGGGACGAGTATCCATTTAGTCAATCAGTCACTAAAGTGACTGATGGTTAAGGGGGGGGTGATGTAACGGGGTGAATCGTTACATAACAATTTATAAGAAATTGTTAATAGAATATAACTGTAAGAGTTATATTCTCAGAATATTGTCATAAGGACAATATTCTACAGCACTTACGAATAGTTCCTAATTGGTTGATAGAGGCCGTTATATCAACCAACGAAGACGCGCCACGACAGACGCACGCAATGAGTGGTGAGCAGATAACTGATTTACACATTTGTATTTAGACATAGTTAGATGAAGATAAATAGTGATTTATTGCAGACATTAACTATTATAAATACAGTTCTACTTTTTACTCTAACCAAGTACTCGCTTCTTCTTACCGTCTTCCTCTGCACGTACGAGTGTACGTGAAGTTACGCGGCACCGCCTCATTCTGTCGTCAGAACAAGTAGCTTGTACTGATGACAGTACAAGCTTCAGGGTGCCCCGTTTCACTTCGCCCGGAATAGTCATATTGCAAAAACTATACGGCCGTATTAGTCCGCCACACAAGATGGAAATAAGCTCGTGTAGAATCAGCACCTTAGGCCACGGGTGTAAATAAAGGTGACTACGTATCAAGCTAGAACCGTATACTGCTTTTATATTCGTGGATGTGTTTTGGAGAATCAAGAAGGACTTGCTAAGAAAGAAGCACAGCCTGACCTTGCTAGATGACGTCACAAATAAAGCTTTTTAAACCTTTTAAAAAATCTAAAGAAGATCGAAGGGTGTTCATTGGTCCAGATAAATCAGTGGGACTGATAGAGTTTGTCTAAGTATAAGAAATGAGTGGCTTAAAATTAGCGAAGCAAGTTTGCGAACTAAGGACCACATATATAATAACTTCACAATAGACCTTCGCCTGCCCACAACAATTTAACACCACGATCGTACATATCAAGATGGGCATAATTCAGAGTGAGAGCAGCTGGAACTCCAATGGCCAAGTTCCAAGCAGATTCCTTTGCCCACCGCTGATAGCTCCGCAAAAGAGTAGCGACACACGGCCTGACTAGCCTCTAACCATTTTATCTGGACCTTCAGGCACTTCAGTTTAACAGGCTTTATCTGCGGATTATAGACGAGATGGTCGTTGAGGCGTGTATGGGTTGGATCCGGCGATTGAGCATCGAAGAGTCGATTTGGCACAAGTGTGATGAAAAAATCAGCCACTGCAAGCCTTGTCTGATCGCTGACTTCTTAGTATATGCAATGCAGATTATATAACGGTCGTACCACCGTCGGCAGCTCGATTAATAAGGGCAACTTGCAAGCTCGGGTCTGTGGAGACGGAACCCGCTAAAATCTGCAATCCAAAGAAATGCTCCAGCTAAGTCACCACATTCACCGCACCCTACTAAATGAATATGAGATAGCAGCCCTAGCAGGGGATCCTTGTCCGATTAAGCGGTACCGGCCACAAATACGGGCCTATATCCATGTCTTCTGCGACAATGCCAGATACAAAACAGATTATTTCACGTCCTATAGACTTAGAACCTGGCGGCACTAAGCACATTTTCTACGTCAAGCTCGCACGTTAGTAGGAGAAAGATTAATTTAGCACTAAGATAACCTCACGCAATTTTTTATGTCGTGGTCCTACCAATCGGAAATTGGCCTTTAGGACGCTTGCAGACATCACACTTTAATACACAAGTGTAACCTTGAGACCGTCAGATGCAGTTCATCTTGACGATGAGAGACGAACCAGGATTTTTAACCTTAAAATAGCTTAGCTTTTAGAAAGCTACGCTTCAGGTGAGGCTGAGAGCCTGGATTCAGACCCCGTAAAGTCAAAGGCCGCCGGCACGGTCCATTCAAGAAACATTCTTGGCCAATGCGGAAAATTACGGGCAGCGCGGATGGAAATAAGGATTGTAGGGAATACAGCTTAAAATTTATGTTGCGCCTATTTTGTTCCGGAGAAAGGGCTCGTCGAAGCCTCGAGAGTCAGTCTTCTGCACTCATCTGTTACCGTTAGACGCAATAGAATGGAACGAAGGCAATTAGATTCTGCGGGCGGTTGAGATTAAGTATTACAATTTTATCATCATCATCATTTATGCACCAAATATTAGGGCTGATCACGAAGATCTTTAGGTGCTCCGCGTGTAATTAATCGTCGCTTCGAATTGTCCTGATGGGAGCACTATCTGTGTTGTAGCTAGCATCTAGAAATCTAGGCCCACAATCTCTTAGCCTTTCCGAAAGTTTAATAACCGTGTTTCCGTAGAAGAGGAGGGCAGTAAGTGATGACAGGCTATTACGAGAACATGCGGTAAATGATGGCGAGCTTATAGCGAGTCAACAATGCACATATTGGATTGAGGAGAAGTGTAATCGGCTTAAAATTTTTTACCTTTCAAACCCCTAGACTCTGGACGTTCTCTACCAATCTCCGCCTCCTAAAACGCTTCGACCAATGGCAAGTGGTGCTATACTTATCGGGAAAGTGAGGTGTCATATTCACACAGCAACATCACGTGTTTATTCTAGCCATTCGAATAGTCCCTACCACGTCTCGATCGTAGTCATTCAGGTAATGATGGACTCGAAGTGGGGCAAGCTTCGTGAGTACGGTCATGGGATACATATACTTTTTTAAGCACCAACATTTTAAGAGTGGTTTAAAATGGGATAAGCAGTGGCAAAAACGAACGATCGCAAAACTTCGCCGACGTATCGGGCGATGATTATTGCTCAATATTATTAGATGTCCGCTCATGTGGAAAAATGCGGGATGACCACACGGGTCGTCCAGACGAAACTTATGAGATTACGATGAAGCGTCCCTTTTATTGCAGCACGTGTATTGCTAATTGGGAATGATATCAGCACGCAAGTTTCCTGGAAGACCGTTGAGGATCGGCATTCACATGAATTAAATCGACAGCGATCGATTCGCGTCTAATAGGGCATCCGCTCTGAATCAGAGTCATCGCACCACTTCTTTTCAATAATTGGCCTCCAAGAATAGAGATCTTGCGTCCATACCGCCATAGAAACGTTTAATTATTGACTATGATGAACTCTAAGTAAGCTCCTTTACAAAAACAAAGGTGCTATCAGTTGTTCAAGTTCAGAAAGGATACCACAGCACTCCATGCTGTGGTCATCATCAGTAACGATTACTAAAGGAAAAGGAGTTGCCCATCTTTTCTTCAAGTTCCCTATTCTTCCTCTTCGTAATAAGAGGACTCAGATGAAGCCATGGATA